CTTATTTTAAGGTTTGTATTTGATTGCAATCCAACATACCTTATTTTTTCCATTTAACGGGACGAACAAATAAAGAATACTAAATACTGCATTTGCTGATAAGACGGCACACCCTTGGACGTTTTTTAAAGGATTCCGTTTCGCATTACAGAAATTCCCCCAAAAAAAACCAATTCAACTATAACTGATGGATTATTCAAATGCCTTATCGTTTCGTTAATCTATTACCATATTCATGATGCGAATATTTTCTTTGGATGACTCACAACCGGAAATTCTTTTTGACATTTTATACGCGAAGTATTTATTTTGGGATCGTCCCTGACAGACGTGCGGCATCCAGACACCAAACGTTTTTTGAAGCGGTTTGTCTCTGTGGCTAATATCACCATAAATGGTCAAAGGTCAAATAAAGATATGAGAATAATTGCATGAAGAATTCTGCTTTCCTGAGGCCCCTTTTGCCTTTGGGATTGGCTTTAAGGGCTTTGAGGTATCAGAATTTCAGCCACCGTTTATCCCTGCGTGATCGTAAGAGGCAGCAAAATCGGGTCTATGCAGGTGTTTTGTAAAAGTTTGTAACATCCGAGGTAAACCAAAGTCATCTTTCTGTTTCGGCACCACATGACATAAACTGTGCTGGTGCGCCGTAAAACCATTCAAACAAAGAGACAAATTAAATTCTATAATAAAGGGGTTAGCAAAACTGTTTGACAGTTGTCAGCATACTATAGGTTTATATTATGTAAGGTCAACAGAGAGGATGAAATGTCCAGATTGTGGCTACATGAATTTTCTTAAAATGCGCGCAAGAACATACATAATTATGTTCACTATCATGCGATGTAGTGTCGCACGAAGTCAAAGGTCAAAGTCACACTTATATAGGTCAGCGGAACAAAACTTCCAAAAATTGAACAATGGCAGAACACAAAATTTCGATTATATCGAATTTGCAGGTAAACACTTAGCGATGTCCAAACTTCGTCTATGACATCGGTCACGTGACACCCAGTATAGTGCCATATATATAAGTAATGGAATGTACGGAAGCGAAAAAGTGCCACCTTCGCAATTACGTGTTATAACGCCATGACCATTGAAAGGATATTAGTTTGTTCGAACCTTTCTCTAATCTACAAATCGTTAACAGAAATGCTTATTTCTGAAATGTCTTGTTATATTTTAAATCAACAGCAACCCTCGCACACATATAAAATGACCATGGCCATTTTCTTTCATTCTAGTTTTATCTGTAAAAGTTGTTGTAAATTTATATACATAGTCGTTACCAAAGTTATTATATGTTTATTATTTGTTTTGATAATCATCAAGATCATTGTAAAGACCATAAATTACATAAATCCATTAAGAAATATTTTCTAACTGCCCCATTGAATAATGACTGATACAAATTATTACATATTTCAGTATTACTGGTATATTCTATATGTTAATACTAATTCGCTAAAATGATCTAATGAATGATTGCATTTATTCATTACGGCAAATTATGCAACATTTTCCTTTGATGTAAATGTCATAACATATGCAAGCGGAAACATGTCGAGCTGTTGCATTGTACTGGAAACTACAATTCGCTCAAACATGTAATCATCCCGAGTCTTAATTTTCTTATCAAGGAATAATATTCACAAAATTCGTTTTAATTCTAAAATTGCGTTTTTGTTATACTTCATATGTATGCATGTCATAAAATAAGAAGTCATTGCAAAAAATAAACTCTGATGATCGACTTCTCATTGGGTTCTGGACGAGAACGCCCCTATGGTCACGGTAGAAACCCCTTGAGCACCCACGGCACATACTGTAGATGCTGCATATTCGCATGTAAATGCACTTTGGCGACCCTATTTAATTTGAAGTGTGACAAGGTAGTTCTTCTACGACTATAAAGTTTTCAGAACGCCATTGCAGTCGTTGTGAAGAAGCCTTAAGAACGTCATAGTTGTAACACACACTACAAACACAATGAAGGCCCCATTAGGTCGCATTTAAACGACCTGTAAAAACCCGATCCATAATTGACAGTGTGATGCCTTACTAATTGCAATTAAGTCTAAAGACAAGGGGTTCCTGAATGACTAGGGTTTTAAAAAAATGTGGGTTACGGTCGCCGTAAGAACGCCACGTTAGGACCTCGTAAGGTTTGACATGGGTATTAGGGTACATGTACGACAGTACAATCGAGACTGCCTTAGCGACCCCCTGATTTCAACGACTCCCTGTCTTATCCGACCTTGTTTCAGTTCTCCCAACGTATTTTCCTATATAAATGGTCTGAATTAAACGACTCCCTGTCATATGTGACAAGCGACCCTAATTGATTGGTCCCAATGCAATGTTTTGTCTGATTTAAACGACTTTCACTCCTTTTAATTGACCGTTAATCAGATAAATAATACCTGTTTTAACATCCAGAGAGACAAAATAATTAAGTCCAATTATAATCCAGTAGTCAGTACTCTTCAAACCAACTCTACACACCTCTGATTACATGTATATTATGCAGGTGTCGAGTGACGTAGCGTCTGGAGTGTCCGTAGCGTCTGATGCAATCGATGTGTGTTAACAAATTGAGGTCACAGGTGTAATGAACATAATGAACTGAGTAAACTTGATTAAGACTTGTGTTTAAAAAATTATGGAGTGCCAACGGAAGATTTTTTTAGGCAGAATTTTTTTTTTACTTTACCTTTCTATGGCTGCATGGATAATATGGAAAAATGTTGATACCAGACTAATATGGATATGTTTTTAAAAGTATGATATTTATTTTAAGGATTTGAATGCATCAAATTCAAGTTTATTTTGTACCATAATGATACAATATTAAACTAATACAAAAAATAAAATTTTATATGATATACATACTATTATATTTGCTTTACAGGGATTCTTATTTTATTTACATCAAATATTTAAAGTACCTATGTATATTTGCAATTGGTTAGATATTATTCTTTCACACAATTATACAGTATATATGTTAAGTCACAATGATATATAGACAGATAGATGGTATTTAAATTTAATTTTCTATGAGACTGTATTAAGAGACTCCCTGTCATATGTGACCTTTTTCTCAAGATCCCTTGGAAAGTCACATATGACAGTCTCAACTGTATTTTATTGCAACTAATCAGTACACGAATACATGTAAAATACATGATTGAAACAAACAAAAAACACAGAGATATAGAGCAAATGGGTCGGGCTAAAAGTTATAAAAACATTTGCAAAAGCCCTCGATCCTCACCTTGATCTGTCAAATAAATTAACTACATCATTTCAAAATATACCGTTGACTTAAAACTGATTTATCACAAATGCCTTCAGGTATTTTTTGTTAGCATGTTTGCATATAATTAGTATCGTCAAATGGATAATAAAATGTCTAACACGATACTATGTCATGCATAATCTAAAATTGAAAAATTAAAGTTTCGTATGAGTTTTGCGGGGTTGGATTATAAGTTGCACTGCTATGATGATACGGGGTTGTCTCAGACGTAAGGGGGTGGGGGTTTGGGTGAGTGAAGCAGAAATATGCCCCTCAATAACCTTTCCAGGTTAAAGTCACCTACCCTTGGCGTAGGCATCTCTTTTCAAAGCACATATGAAGCTGGAATGGAATTTTGGCCGCCAATTCTTCGTTTAGTCAAATCTCAAGAATGGTTTATCTGAATACTTAGTCAGATTTCGTGAAAACTTCGTATTTTGAGTACGTTTTGTGACATTGTCTCATACGCATTGCATGTTTTAAACACACCAGATCACACGACAGAAAGAATATCTTCACGAAGAATGCATGAAAATACGATACAATAACTGGAAGTGAAAATTCAATTTGGAGATTCATATGGAGTCATAAGGTCAACAACCCAACTCACCCCCCCCCCCCCCCCCGTGTACCTATGAAAATTAAAATATATTCAGTATTTTAATTTTATTTATTCATGAATTCAGGTAATTTTTTGTATTCAACCACATTTGACAGCTGATGAATTGATATTTGGAAATCTATACTCTTTTCTAGCGTACCTTCCCATAAAACAATAACTAAATACTTCAAAATACTACCGTATTTTATGACTATTTAATGTTAACAGCCACACATAAAGGTGTGCTTTAATAAAAGGGGGAACAATCGGTTTGTTATCCAATGTATTCATATCATCAGTTGTCGTTCTTTACCATTTTCAACCTATGGCAAGAATATAAATGACTGAACGTAGCAAGAAATCAATGTCTATGACTGTTATACACATGATTGTATTAAATGTAAAATGAATTTAATAATAACCTGCATTATCAGCTTCTTGTTTATCTTTCCTTTATTTCGTTCATATTGACATGTTTACATATTTGTATCAGTATGGATGATAAACAATGTATTGGCAAATTTCTGAATTTTACTTGAATTAACCCTTTGTATGTCCACTTCCAGTGATACAACGCTCCTAATTATTTTATAAATATACTGGTGACATAAATAATGATAACTTAATTTGACATCGGTCTTAAAGAAGAAAAAGGTTGACTTTTTTAATGTTTATAAAGACAATATCCACCCAACTGATATCCTTCATGTAGGATTACTTAACGTTTTATTAATATGTTTTAGATATAATCAATGTTTTGATATTGCAAAATTAACAGGATCGAAACATAGTAATATTTTAAAATTGAATTTCTTTAGATCTGAAGAGTAGACATAACTGATAATTGGTGCTATGTAGCACACACAGTGCTTTATCAACCATTTATGTTGCATTAACAGATAAGTTCATAACGGTTCTAAAATTTGACTTTATAATTCGTAGGATTGTTCTCAAGAAATTTCCATTTCCATGCTTTCTAACTATCTTATAATGCGGCTATTTTTGTCATAATTATATACTAAAGGACTTTGAGCACGCACGCATTATTAAGAGTGTTATCACAACGACGGCACTAATAATAAAAATATATCCATACACATTTGTTTTATCCTTTATTTTTGCTATCAATTAGAAACAATATATTTTAACTTAATTTGATAATAAAGAAATTAATCGCATGATAATAAACGGTGCCCTAAAAATCGAAAGTAACATTTTTAACAATGAAACTTCACTGTTACTGTAAAGATGTGTTCTTATTTACATCCCGAAGATATGTCACACGTTTCAACTTAATAATGATAATAATAATAATAATAATAATCTTCAGTAGTTTTCAAGATTGATTGGCACGCAGACTTCAATAAAAAAAATCATAAGTTCACAAAGGGCTATAGGATGGTTATTGGCCGTGTATGTTGCTCTCCAGACATGTATGAACTAACAAATAAATATCTTTTAAAAAGATGCAAGTTAAACATTAACCAGTGTTCCACTGACGCCGACACAGGGATAAAAAAAAATAGCATATCACCACTTTGCTTCGAAAAGCCGAGCTAAAAGGGAAAAATATAATTATGTTAAAATTTAAAGCTGAAATATTTGAAGAATTATAATTTTGAAAAGAAAGTCATCAAACTATTTCCCTTTTGAATACTCCTTTTCAAAACAAATAATCAAAGAGGAATCAATATTGTTGTTTCTATAATAAGATGTTTAATTAAAACAAAGATTTCTCACATAAATCTTACATTGAATCATATAAAATATAAACAGCATTGTAAAAAGATAAACAATACACTGTATTCAACATAAAAACATGCAGATAAAATAAAGTTCCATAAAAATGTTGTTAATATGAGGCTCCACATCTGTCACATCTTTTCTCCATCAGGAGGAAACAACACAGAACGCCAAGTGGGAAGAAACAAATTGCCAGAATGATACCAAGTGCAGTAAAACTATCAGATACATGGCCAACCTGAACAAGGAAATAAAATTAAAAAAACATTACAAATTTGAAGGCATGAAGTTCTTATAGTTATAATATAAACTTATTTAAAATAGAATTAAAGATTTAAGAAACGAGGTCCTCAAATTATGAATGTACTACTTTTTTTATAAAGAATGTAATCAATGCTCTACTCTACACAAAGAAAGGAGGTCTTATTCTTTTCTATCAATGCAACTTCAACCTCTAAATGTTAAATTAATACGTATAATATATATTGAAACTTAATTTGAAAAATATAAACGCCTAAGAATACTATACTAGTAAATCAATTTACCCCACATGCTCGACAACCACCAACAGCGACGACTTGTTGCTGCGGTTGTGTAACAACTACTACATTTGAAGATTGATGATGTTGTGGAGGCGGGCCGTATCCCTGCTGTGGAGGCGGGGCATAACCCTGTTGTGGAGGCGGAGCATAGCCCTGTTGTGGTGGCGGGGCATATCCCTGTTGTGGAGCAAATCCTGGTTGAGGGGGATAACCTTGTTGCTGGTAGGCTTTGTTGCATAAAACAAAATAAACAACGGTTGACAATTGTGCAGAAGTGAAAATACAAATATAATGTCACGTCATTGCTTTAGTAAATAACATAGAAATAGAATAATTAGTTTTCTCTGCAGCCATACATTTATTCTAAGACAGTCGTCAGATGTCTTACATATGAAATAACTAATCACTGCATGTTTGATTTATTTTGATGATGGATATTGAGATATGAAGACATTTTAGATAATTTGATGGCGTGTCAAAATGGTGTGAGTTCACCTTTTGAGGTTTAAGTGTTTAACCAAGATAGATAACATTTTACAATAAAAATTGACATGCTTAAATTTATTTACGTAGAGGAAGTTAAGATATTAATGCAAACAGTTGTTCTAATGTTTTATCATGAACTATGTGACTCTATACTTACGAGGGGGAGGCCCGTCTATTTTCGACATATTTAATTACTGTACAGAAAATTCTCTGAAATTAGACAAAATTTTAATTATAACATAAGCATTTGAAAATATTTAACTGCTGGAAACTTAATGATTTAATGAGAATGTTTAAGTGTAAATAAATTTTTGTTATGTATACATGTATAATGATTTGTCTAGCCAATACAGCTGTTTACTCAATTTAAGTTTATTAATATTACGATACCTTTAAAATTCCTTATGAAAAGTTCTTTATTCAAACACATATTCAGCTGGGCAAGGCTTAAAATCAAAACCTTTGCTGTGCGGGTTTATAAAATGAAAAGTAACAGTACAGAAACGTTTCAGTATTTAAATACATTACAGTGCGTCCACGTTTTAATGCTCGGATAAAAAATTAATATACTTATCTTCATTGCTAGGATGTAATTTTGAAATAAAGTGACGTGTGATGATCGAGATTAAAGGTTATCAGCCGACAAACATATACGCTTGATTTATCTTTACCTTATTGTTGTGAATTCAATACTATGATTGGAAAATAACAAACAATCGTTATAAATTGACCAGTCTTAACATTGTTTTGTGACATAAACTTGACTATGTTAAATGTTATAGTATATGTACAACATAATTTTATATGACTTAAATATGTAGGTTTTGAAGAGGTTATATGTAATAATGTGTAAACTTGAAATATAATATGTTTACTTTTAATGAGAATCTGTTAAATATGTCTAAATTTAATATCTGTGCATTAGGAGCGTATGACATCAAATTCAATCGAATGAAATATCTTATATCATTATTAAGAGAAAGTATTATTGTATACTCGTACATTGTACCATATCAACATGTATTCCTATTCAATAATACACTTTTACCATCTATAGTTCTGCTTCACTATTTTTTCCGCTCAATAAACAAGTATATAGACATGTATTCAACTATTATGCTAGTTAAAATTACAAATCATCATGAAATAAACAATATAGCTAAAGATTATTTAAATGTTTGGATTTTTATTAGTTGATGTCAATTAATGGTGGAACCAGATTAAAATAGGTCAAAACTAACCTTTAAACCCCTTTTATAAGTCCTTTATATACACTTTCTGTAATTTAGTACACTATGTATTGAATTTACATTGGTTGACTCCTAGTCATGTGGATTTATTGTTGTGTGATAAGTTACCGTACTGTTCATAAAATTAGCTCAGTCCCGGATGCAGACTGGTTTACACAACAAAGTCAATGTGTCATGACCTTAATGTAATAATTAACATAACAATAACTGGTCGCAAAGTAAAATGTAGATAACCTATTATTATGTACGTGTATATCCTCTATATGTCATAAGTGTACTCGACGGCCTTCAGTTTTTCTTTAGGTTAAATATGTTATTTTTAGACCAATCGTTTCATATAATTGGCAAATTAAAAGAATTTAGGTGGAAAATGAAATTTGCAGACGATAAAATACATTAATAGTAAGGAATCCCCTTGACACCTCTTATCTACCGGGCTGCTTTCTACGGACGTCAGTTGCGCGTTATAAAAAGCCCTCGAGAAGCTGTTGTTTAGAAGGCTGTACAGTGATATTTTGCACTTTTCCAAGATGAAATTACTGAAATAATTGGTTTGAAACAATATAGAATTGTTTTTCCAACAGAAAATAAGACTGAAGGCCGCTTTCAAGATATCAAAGCTTGTCTCGCTAAAAGGCCAAGAAAATGACAGAGCAATGTGTCATTTTATGGCATTAGTCTTTAGATAAATCAGTTGATATATAGAATCTGGTCAGAATACACGCATGTGCAGTTTTGGTTGACGATACTCAATGTGAAGTTTTCATATATTAATATAAATGTGTTTTTTCTTTCGTCTGATAACATGTCACTTTTATATCAGTTTCGTTGTTGCCTAGGTTAATTTAAAACAATTATTGATGAGTTTAATTAAAGTAATAATCTTGAAATTGTTATGATATAATTTCTAAATTACTCATGTATGCGTGTAATTAAAAAAAGCATAATCTAATTTAGATAGAGGGATAATATCACTGCATCATTATTACGAGTATTTATTGTTCATTGTGTATGATTTATTGCGAGCACAAACACCTATCATTCCCGATGAATGTATGATTATTTACAAGTGAATTTAGCTCATGAAGTAGCAGTGAACTGTACGCAGAACGGCAGTATCACACACATTTGAGCCGCGTCACGACAAAACCAACATAGTGCGTTTGCGACCAGCATGGATCCAGACCAGCCTGCGCATCCGCGCAGTCTGATCAGGATCCATGCTGTACGCTATCAGTTTCTCTACTTGTAAAAGGGTTGGTAAGCGAACAGCATGGATCCTGATGACACTGCGCGAATGCGCAGGCTTGTCTGGATCCATGCTGGTCGCAAACTCACTATGTTGGTTGGCGGCTCATTTTTATTTTGTATAACTATGGTAATCACTTCATGTGAGATATCTTCCTGGTTGTCATATTTCACGGTTGTATTTCATTTTATGTTTAATAGCATACAAGTCGTATTTGTAGTAAATATTTAAACAATGTTAGAATACCTGTTAAGGTTATACCTGCTTCGTTTATATTATAAATAAATAAACATTTTGACAAGTAGACAAGTAGAGTATATTGGTCACGTGACTCAAATAGCGTGGGATGGTTACATCCGGATGTTGAGTATCATCATCATGTGACGGAGGGAATTAAAACATTTTCGTTATTTAAAAAAAATTATCGTTTATTTAGATCTACACTTTTTTGCACAGTAAGAACAATCAAATTTATGGAAATCTATTATTCAGGATTTGTCAAGTTGACATTTTGCTGTCGAACGTTCCAGTGCTGAGCCTTTCTGTATTCCTTTCTGTGTGTGTCGTCCTTGATCACTAATGCATTAATGATACAACCGATTCGTGAAGTATTTCATTTGTTTCCTGTATTACTTGATCTATTTTCCTTCTTTACTATTCTAATTTTAATTGTACTATGTATGGTTCGATGGTGGTTTTATTGTTTTAGTGTCCCATTTTCCGCCCTAGTGACTATGGTTTTTGTGGTAATGTTTTGGTGATCATTGTTGGGGGTTGTGTTCCGTTAACAAAGTGCTACTTTTGTTGGTCTTTGTATTTATATGTGTTCCTGTTCATAACAGACAATGAACGATGCAACATCTCTCATACCCCATAGCACCGGCTTAGCAGTGCTAAACGATATTAGTCGATGATCCCGAAGAATTAAAATATATTAAGACACAGCTGTGTGGTATTGACCCATCACATCACTTAACATCTGCTGTAGATGTTCCGTTACAAATGATATACAACAATATGACTTTCAAATAATTTATCATGATTTAATTTATTACTATTTACATATCTGTCAAATAAAAATCGAGCTAAAATCAAGAAGTCTCACACGTCCATCTACTCGGAGTTTCTGTATATATATAGTGATATAAAAGCATATTTTTTTTTGGTATTTGCGACATTATAATATATGCACATAGCAATGTTAGGTGGATATTGGATTTTTTTCCCAATGTGATATAAGAAAACAACAATGTTTATAACAATGATTTCAATTGTTTATGAACTGTCAAAAGCAATATTTGAGCCGTGTCACGACAAAACCAACATAGTGCGTTTGCGACCAGCATGGATCCAGACCAGCCTGCGCAGTCTGATCAGGATCCATGCTGTTCGCTATCAGTTTCTCTACTTATTATAGGGTCTGTAAGCGAACAGCATGGCTCCTGATCAGACTGCGCGAATGCGCAGGCTGGTCTGGATCAATGCTGGTCGCAAACCCATTATGTTGGTTTTGTCGTGACGCGGCTCATTTATAGTATGAGTATAAGAAAACAGTTGTTCAGTAGGTAACACCACATCTGTCACATCTTTTCTCCATCAAGAGAAAACAACACAACACTCCAATAGGGAAGAAAAGAATTGCCAGGATTATGCCCAGAATTGTGAAATTGTCAGACACGTGACCAATCTGGAAAAAAAATCATATTTGGTGTAATTTATTTCGGTTGTATTAGGGCATTAATGAAATATATTTACAATATAATTTGCAGCCACGTCCAATGATACAAATCATATTGGTTCAAACTAAAGATAATTCTTACAAATTGTTAAAGTATGAAAATCAGGTTTAACATGCACACACATTTGCTAATGTTCATTTAAGGGGGTGAATATGAAATATTTCATGATCATAAAGTGCGAACGAAGACAGTGACCTTCACCCCTGAAGCTGGTAGAAAGGTAAAGTTTGGTGATTATTATAGGAAATATGTTTTGAATTTCAGAAATCATATTTAGAGCACACCGTAAGCCTAGCATCCCCAGCTGTTTAAAAGTTTCACTTTTTAATTGACACTTGTTCTTTTCAGATTCCTAAAGTAAAGGTGATTGATGACCTTTTTTCTGTTTTACAAAGATCTTCCGTCTGTTACAGGTAAACATACTCGCATTCGAAATCATACCGTTGTTAGCATATTACAACATAAATGTTTGATATTTATTAGAATTTATTGGGTAGAATTTGCCGTTATTTTGTTTCATGTCAAAGATCTCATTGACTTTTCTTAAAATTAGATTTCTTTTAAGTTGTTAAGTTCAATTTTTTTATCAAACGTTAATAGAATGTTTTTCCCAGTCTAACGCGTCACACATGACGGGTGGCTGCATCTATTCAGGATATTTCAAGTTGTGCAAATGCATGACAATTCAAAAAAAGATATGACCATTTACAAAAATCTCTAGACAAAAGCTTACAAAGTACTACTATAATCAGAACAATAATTCGATATTCAACCACGCGCAAAGTCAATCTCTAAATGAAATTTGATGTAAACTATTTCCTTATTGAAACAGACATTCGAACGATGGCATTTTAATCTAGTACCATTAGTATTGATATAAGTTTAAAATTCATTGACAATGCATTTTAAGATTCAACGAGTCATAACGAAATTAATATTTGTCGAGCATTGTTTCCTTATTACAATAAATATTCATGCTGAGTTTTTTTTAAATCCATAAGTAAAATATAGCTAAAAATGGACATAGAGGTTCAGGACGGAAGGACTAACGGACAACAGACGATGCAATTTCAATATCCCCTATTCCGATTTTATTGGCGTGCGATAATAAAGAGCATTAACATATTTGGGTGCATCTCATATAGAGCTATCTATATCATATCAGCTTAAATGAGCTTAAATCTGTATTGTTCTGTGGCAATATACAGTATATTTACAGTCATATTTGTTTTGAGCGATACAGAGATTATAAGTCAAGAAGAAGAAGTACTATCTAGGCATTTGTCTTCACAATAATAACCTAATGCTGTTAAACAACTTTCAATGAAAGTGAAGGTCAATCTGTTCGTTCGCTTTTATGATCAAGTGAGGTCTCAACATAAGCTTATTGTACATCAAGTTCGATTACAAAATTTCATTTTTAACTCTAGTTATCAAAAGAAAACCATTTTACTATTTTAGTATCAGTAACAAATATTGACCTTAGCCAAAGGGGGGGGGGGCATATACCACGTTTGATTTCAATGTCTCATTCCTAACTCATATTTAGTTACCCTGGCCTTGACCTTATGCCAAAAGCTTTCCCATGCCAGGTCTCTACAATCGCCTGCTATATACCAAGTTTGTTCTCTAGTTATTGGTTATCTAGTTGTATTCTTTTTGTGCAAGAGATAAATATTTCAAATTGATCACGTAAAATGAGCTTAAAAAATATAGAGTAAAACAATGATTAAGAGTTTACCCCACAGTGTGAACACGTTCCTATAGCAACGACTTGTGGCTGTGGCTGCGCAACAATAACATTAGTTGTTCCATAACCAGGCTGTTGCTGATATGCTGAAAAATAACATTGTCTGGGGTTTTCTCTATAATGTTAAGTGCAAAAACAAGTATACCCTTCCATTTCAAGGATGAATATTACAAGGGATAATAACGCTCGTTAGGTTAATATAGAATGACTTAAGTTCTATATGAGAAGTAGTTTAAAGTTGTGATAAAAACGCTCATTTGTTTAAAAAGTTTTTTCCGAAGATCCTTCATTTGCTACTTTCCCTATCACCTGTTTAGAGACATCGACTTTATTTATTCATTTAGTTAAATACTATAGTAGCAAATTTAATTTTGTAGGGTATTTGAAAAGTGTATTTGTCCATATAACTTGTATAATACTGTTCGAGTACTTTGAGCTGGTGATGATGTTAGGCTTTTCCGTAGGACTTCTCTATGCCTGATAACAACCAGCGTCCCGAATATCGTACCGTCCGAGCGTATAACAAAATGTACTTGAGTATGATACAAGTACCGGATCAAACTATTCTAGCATGATAAATGTATAATATCAATTTCATTTAACCACAAATATATGATATGTTATCATTTTTATCTTAGCAGGGATGATTGATTCACCAGTTTCTTTGGTATCATTTAATGGGAAGGGTTCAATTATTATAAAGGTAGACTAGTTACTACATTATAATACTGCACGTTTGCAACGTCGCTTTACATTGGATAATCGTGATGTTTATATGTTTTTTTTTATAATACTGCACGTTTGTAAGGTCATTTTACATTAGATAATCGTTACGTTTATATAGTTTTAAATACACGCCTGATGTCAATTTTCTAAAAAAATCTCACTTTTTCTCAAAAAAGTTTGCTGCGTAATAAATTCGTTATAAATATTCTTGACAGGTTATATGACCGTAAATAAACGGTAGGGGCTCGGGTTATATTTCCAAACAACAGTTTACATAGAGCCATATAACATTTAAAAAATCTTTATAACTAATAATATACAATGCTGCTGTCAATTTATTAAGACATCACATTTTTTCCAAAAAAAAGGAAAGAAATATGCCGTATTAAAAATCGTTATAAATATTCCTGACCTGCTTTATGACCATATATAAACGGTTGTTTGCAATATGACCGTTCGGTCAGATTGGGTCATATAACCTGTCAAAAATCTTTATAACGAATAATCTACTTGTCACATATAAACATCCTTATATTAACATGTTGTGATGTCCTGTAATGCCTTGTTGTTATATAATCATTGCATATTGGGCGTTTGTGATTATAGCTACATGTACAATGTAACATGTACGGGTAAAGACAGTTCATGAACATATGCATTGAAAAATTATTCTTACCTGGAGGATTTCCTATTGGTTGTGACATATTGCACGTCGTCTATGTGTATCTACAAAGGAAATGTAAAGTAAAATATTTAAACTGGTGTGAAATTTTGAAACATAAAACTTCTTTCAAGGTGATAAGGAAGTTAAATTTCGTATGCAACAACCTAGCGGTGTGGAATTTTAGGAAGAAGATGGGAAAATTCCAGCCCACACAAATTGACGAGAAATCGAGGCCGTTTAGGGATTTATTTGGCAATATTTTCAAGAAATATGTAGACACACATATAGGTATTTCGTTTTATATGCGTTCATGGCAATGGTCCAGTTTCAGCTCAGTTTTTATTAAACCAAGGCATATGATATGCAACTAGTTATAACAAACAAATGAACAGAAAATAAGTCAAAAATCAACAAATATCACAATAAAAGAATAAAATTTATTATAACAAGCTAAATTAACAAAAAATAGGAGATCATATTGTTCATTTCAACTACAGAATTCAATATTACATGTATTTTACATTGTAACAAATGGGAACGGAGAATGAGAAGTATTTTCTAAATTTTAACATAATGTTTTTACAATATAAGGATAATTATATATATAGCAGAATGTTTTATCACAACTATTCATTTATCTGTCAAGTGTGGTCAAGTTTAAAAATATTGGGATAAATATAACAATTAAGGAGCAGAGATTTACGTCTAATGTCATTAAAGTACGAACATTCAAATAAGTAGTGAAATTCATCACCAATTGCTTGATACGGACATAAGGAACAGAGTCTATTATTATGATCAATTGCCAAATGTCTGCATTTTTCAATTGGTAATAGGTGAATTATTTTCTAAATTTACATAAATATTTGCCTATGTCAAATGGAAGTATATCTAGATATTTTTCAAAACAATGAGTATTTTTATATGTACGATACACTAAGCACTTGTTTTATCAAATTTTATAAAAATGATTGTAAGGACTTTAAACTCGATTTTTGTGTGGCCTTGGTCAATGTGGTTCTGTATATTCTTTCAGATGAACACAAAACTGGATAATGTTACTGGCTGATTAGACTGATTATATATAGTGTAATTCCGTATTAATGTGTTTGTGTGATATGGATGATTTGACAGTCAAATTTTTACAAATGAAGGGGAAGGGTATTCTTTCTTAAATTTGTGGGAGGGTTAGGAAAGTTGTTTTTCTTTTCGTCTCTCTTTATTTTAACAAAAAGGGAATATATATACTTGATATAAATTAAATTTCAAGGAAAACTATTTTTCCTAGAAGGAAGACACCTGAAAATGACACATGTGTACGACAATGTTTCAAGGTTTGAACAAAAGCACAAACATATATGTTTACTAAGTGAACGTCAAATATAAATACGTAAAATTTACAACATAGAAATTCATGTTGGCGTTTAATCCGATAACTTGAAAGTAGTTGTTAAATGAATTTAAAGATGATGTACAAAATTTTTAATATTTTATAAAATGCAAAAATAGTGCTTGTTTTCATAAATTGAAAACACATACCTTGAGATAATTTAAAAATATTCCCCCTCCGATGTTTACTTCTCGTGTATGTACTAGACAATATATACTTGTAATAAAACACAGATCATGTGACTGAGCCTTATAGATTACCGTAATCTACATAATCAAATTCAAGTGGTGAAACTTCTTCATGTTTTAACTTGTTCTTCTGTATCTAATTTGATTACTATTAATATAGAAAGTTTATATAGGTCTTCTTTTAGGTAGGACAACTTCAGTAAAATCTAATTTATTCGGCTCTAAATAATGCTCCGCTTTTAGATCTGACCGTGACCAAATACGAAGTCCAGAACAGCGAGCTTTCATAATTTTGAAAGCGATGTGGTTTTTGATTTTGACCCTGGGAAAGCCAATACTTAGTGAGTAATTTTTACGATTTCGAGAGCAAACATGGCGTTGTCCATATAATCTACAGGTAAACTGGCAAAACAATCTTGCCCATTAAAAATTGACTATTATTTCAAGTTAATTTGTTAAAAATTGCTTCAAACATTTTTTGCATATCAAAAATCAACATTTTCTTTAACTTCCACGGATAACGGTATTTTGATACTTCTTCTAATGCCTATAGAAACCGATTTGATTGCATGGCTAAAATAGCTTAAGATCAGTAGCATAATACAGATTGTAAACCCGCGACAGTTTTTTTTATTTATTTGTTGTTGTTATTATTGTTGTTGTTATTATTATTTTTATTATTATTATTATAATTATTATTATTATTATTATTATTATTATTATTATTATTATTATTATTATTATCATTATAAATATATTTCAATATTGTTTTGGTAAAGTTTCAAAACTGTCTTATAATCGCCGTAGAATTTTTACAAAGGAAGTCATGAACAGGAAGAAGGTAAAAAAAGTTTATTTGCATATTTACGGTAATTAGAAATATTATCTTCCTGTTTATGTTTTATTCATTGTGTTCATCAAGGTTACTCATTATGTGTGGTTTCATATTAAATCGATTTTTGGCAATATACCACTCCATATTTGATAAGAGTTAGGATAAGTATTTAGTGTATAAGTGTGCCAAACAGGTGTAACAAAAAGTGGCCCTCCTCCCTTTAAGTTGAATTATTTAAAATTAGGACATGAATAAGGCCCTGCTTTACAACAGTCGCATTGTTTTAGTTTTCATTTTCGGGGGTTAAGTGTCAAGCTTATCTGGACAATTTTGGAAGAATGTCCTCTGAAATGATTTCTGCGGAAAAAAGACTAACCAACACTTTATGACAATACAATTTTCAATTAATATTATCTACGTAGAATTCTTGAATTAAAACTAGAAATGGAATCACGTACGTTTCTAATATTGATTAAGTGAGATTATGAGATTTTGATTTATATTCGCCACCTATACCCAATAAAAGAATGTATTGCATGTGCAAGCTGGCAGCGTTTGGTTTATGCTTTATATCTTATCTATATAGCTAGATTGCTCAATTGTCTATAAAAGCATAAACAATATTGATGATTATAATTTAAAAGCATGCAAAAGGTTTATAACACAAATCAACTAATATAAAAGTTCAACTCTGTGTCTGAAACAAAGCAAACAGTACATATGGTCCTGATTTCATAGCTGTAGCTCATAATACAGTTAGTTGGTAACATTGTCAAAATTTAGATCATAATGATATCAAATAAGGCATGTGGTCCAATTTGCAAGGGTGTAGATCCGAATACATGAAAGTATGTCGATAAGTCAAATAATCTAGGTCAACTTATATCAAATCGGGTCATGATTCCAACAATCAGACAGAGGTCAACAAGACAATGATTCTGTGTACAATAATGACAAAGATTTTGAAATATAGACCCAAAGGTGGGGTCAATTAACATGTAAGTTCTAGGCCTCGCAGTTATCGGTGAAACAACTTTTTTCTCCTATATTACTTTAAGTAAAATCAAGTGGTCCTTAGGCAGTGTAGGGTAATGATTAACGAACTTGGCATTGTTTCTCTATAGAATGCTACACACCAAATATATATGGTCCAGACATTGGAATTGGGAGAAAAAAAATTAATAAATGTTCAATCAAGTAACTTCCCAGGGTTGTGGGAAATGATTAGAGATCCACTATATGATGTTCATAAAAATCAAATATGTGAGCTTTACGCTCAGAGAGAATTAGATTTTATTTAGGTTTTCCTATATTAAATCAAATGACCATCGGGGCGGGGCAAATTTTAAACACCGCGTCATGACTTTGATATACTTGATAAAGGTCCAATAGACAACTTTACACCAAACATATCAGGTCTAGGCTTTATGGAATCAATTTTATGTTTTTCCTATATGATTATGAGAGTAAAACGATAGTGTTATAAGTTGAACAATCTTGGTATACCATTAGCTGATGCTGAACTATAATTATCTAAGTTGTAGGCTTTGTGCTTTTTAGTCCCTCTGCCCTAGATATTTAATAGACATATTTGAATAATATTGGTAGAACTTCATGCCAGGAACATTTCAGCCAAGTTTCATAAATTTTGACATAGTGGGGTCGAGGTTTCAAAAGAGATGTCGTTTGAATTTCCAGGTCAACATTAAATGGTTCTTGGGCCTTATTTTGTCCATTTTTCTGTTTCTTTTTATGACTTATTTTGGCATAAATAGAAGACACTTTGATGTTCACATCTTAAAAATTATTGTCCTCAAAAGACGTGCGGTAATAATACAAATAAAACGTAGCTCAATAACGATCCGAAAGTAAATATTTTTTGTAACTAATTTAGTATATCAATTTGCGGCTGTAATCAGTACATTAAAATTTTTAATGTCCTTAATATTTTTACTTTAATACTCGACAAGTTACATAATAATCGTTAATGCTTCCTGAATGCACTACAATTTTATCAATAATAGATAGCGTCTAATTAATTACAATACGTTAAAATAGCTGTTATATTTTTCAACCCTCATTTTCTTAAAGGCACATTTAAATAATTAAACAAATTTACAATTATTTTTTTTGTCTAAGAAATATTGGCGACAAGATATGAACAACAAATAACTGATATCAAACATTTCTGTTGTAAGTTGTGAAGTTCTTGAGTTTGTTAACATTTCAACAGTGTGCCCTTATAAATATGATAGCTATGTACCATGCAGTTATTAAAATGATGAGATTTTGCATTAGTTTTCAATTCCTTTAGTCAGTATTACTTTATGTCCTGTGATTTCAACTAAAGAATTCTCGCCCCTGTTTACATATAATAAACCGATATTGTTGGGGGGAAGGTATTTAATGTGCACATGGCTGTAAATAACCGTAACAATTTACAAAACGTAACAGTGAACTGCTTGTAGATGCTGGTGGGATAAGCCGAAGCCAACCAAAGACAGATATACCGCACACAAATAACATATTAAACAGTAAAAGTGATATATAAGAACGGCCTTGCCGAAACCCTCAATTAATTTAAAACTTTTCAGTTGTTGACACATGACGTTTTCTTTTTGACCAACATCGTGACCATATGGAGAAAGTATTATTATTGCTATGTAATTCATGTTGAACCATGATCAAGTAAAACTTATATTAAAAATGTGGTTAAATTGGTGGGATTGATTGTTTAATCCTAAAACGCTATTGCACCATTATTGTGTTAACTGTTTAAATAATTTCTCCTTCTATTTGATTAACAGTAAGTAGAATTTTTGCTAAACTATTTTCAATTTTACTAGATTCGAGTCTCCAAAAATTGGCTGAGGAGAATATATCTTTGGGGTTTTTTATTTGGATTTCGAAAAGCCAAAAATACTTTTGATTTTACTTTTGTTTTGAAAAAGGGTGATCCCTCGGAAGCATTAATCACAACAAAATTACATGAAAATTGCAGGGTCGCTTTGATTAAGTCTGTATATGAGGGATGAAAAGTGCCACTTCCCTCATGCCCCCTAGCATCAACATGGCGGTACTCAATTTTCAACTCTTTAACAGTGCTGGAATCAAAGATAGCAAACCCCGTTTGCTTAAATGTTTCAGAAAATTACGTAAGTGAAAAACCATGTGTTCGAGCTAATGAACTAAGACTAAGAGCTATTGAACACGCTTTTTTACTTGGGGACTATACACCGCTTTTTATGGAATGGCGCAAAAGTGTCAAATTCAAGATGCCATGATAACCGCCACATCTGCAGATGTTTCTGGATTCAAAATTACACCACTTTCATATTTAAATATTGAAATAGAGAGAGAAATAGATTTCTTAAAAAGTCTGAAACGGCGAAATTGAAAATGTTGCAGGTTCGGTTTGATTGAGCCTGTTCATGGACAGTACTGGAAAGTGCAAGCTATTATCCACGCCTCCTAGCACAGGCTTAAGTAGTATTCAACATTTGAATATATAATCGTAAAATTTTGAATAAAGAAACATCCGCAGAGGTGTTCATACGGCGGTAATCATATATTCGTGAATTCTGCTTAAGCCGGTGCCAGGAGGCATTGACGTTAGTTTGCACTTTCCAGTACCGTCCATGCTTAATCAAACTGAGCCCTGAAACTTTTACAATGATGTCGTTTTTGGAGTTCTTTAGGGATAAAGACCCATAAGGCCCGTAACTCTAGCCTGAAGTGTGACTGAATAAAAGCCTTTTTGATCTTCGAAAACTCATGGTTACAGTTTTGCGTACAACACCAATTTCGAAGCTATTGTATCTTTTCATTTCTTCAAGACTCGAACCAGTAAACCCGCAACCAAAAATATCGAAGCGTATGGAACGCCATAGCTGCCTCATGTTGTTACATTTCGTTTTATTTTTCCCTATGAGCATCTTATTATGTATAATAGAAGTGTTGGCTTGCCAACGTTTTATGAGAACCTGTCTTAACGAAGTCTTGTTAGGTCAAATATTCATTTTCTCTTGCCCAAACGTAGTGCTGACTTGTCTAAACACTGTCTTATTATTTGAAAACGTCATGTTATCATGTGCAAATCCGGTGTTAACATGCCGAATGGAAGTCTTACTATGTCTAACATGCACGCCATCTTTTCGAATTAAGATTTCAATATGTCTGAACACAGACTTGTTTAAATGTTGTGTTGAATTGTCTTGAAATTGTCTTATCATGTGGAGCAGTAGTGTTATCTTGT